TGATTTTTTATATCAATAAAAACTGCAGTTGAGATCAGATCTTCATACTTTACTATTTGAATATTATAAACAACTGAGAGAATAGTGTCAATTGCAGAACATTGTTTTCTATCTCTTATTTATTTACTGAATAAAAGAGAGTTATTAATAGAGCTTATAAAAGATAGTTAAGTAGCTATTAGACTGGCCGCTAGGACCATAAATTTCACATTTGATTTCATTTGGTCTGGTCTCATACATTTCTTGGCGTGAATCCCGCTGGGACTGACTATCAAAAAAACAGGTAAAGTGACTATATATCAGATCTTAAAATGGAATCATGACTTGAAAAAAATGAGAAAGTGGTTTCATTTGATCTCATTTAGTTCCATTCTTGATATAAAGTTACTATTTTTAGACATTTTAAGGTTTTTTTTAGACTATTTTTAATTTTTTAAAAAGTAACACTTTTTGATAATGCTCAAATGCAATTTAAAGTCATTTAAAGCAATAAAAATAATTTAAATTGAGAAGTGGAAATCATGGTCTCATTTGAAAAATGTGATAAGAGTAGACAGTAAGTCTCACTGAGACAGTATGAGACTACTATCTAATGTTAAAACCGTGTAATGAGATCAGTCGAATTGGTAATGAGACTATCAAAAAATCTGGTCCTGGTCTCAGACACGGTCACACGGTCAGTCTAGTAGCTATTATCTTGTTCAAAACCTTTTCTAGACAGTTTAATAGAGATATTACTTTATATAACTTAGAAATGAAAGTTCTTCTATTAGATTTTTTAAGAATCACTTCAGTGACTTCTCTTCAGCATTCAGAATGATATTCATCTTTTAAGAGATTGAAAAAGAGCTCAAAATATTCATTCTTTAAGTAGAAATATGTATTTTGAATAATTAAGTAATTAATTGAATCAGGTCCTGCAGCAGTTTTAACAGAACTTGAGAAGATAGCTAACTCTAATTCATCTTATACAAGATTAGTTCATTCTCAGTCATTTTCATTAATATAGTTGAGAAGTAATATATTCTCTTTCTCTGAATCTGAATCTGATGAGTTTTGAAAGAGAATTCTTATAAAAGCTTGACATTTTTTTCAAAAGTGTTTACTGTATATAATTCATTCTGAAACTTATATTTTAAGACTAAAAGTTTTACTACACTTCTTATTTTAGTATAGTTAAAAGTTTTAAAAACTTTCTTCTCTTATGCTTCTTCAAGAAATTTATTTCAGCAGTCTGTTTTAGCTCTTTTAATATCTGAAAAATATTCATTTCTGATAGCTTTAAACTCTTTATCAGATATTATATCATTCTTTCAATCTCTTCTAGTAGTAGCTGATTCTTTTCTTTTAAATGAGATATTCTCATTTTATCGAGATTTTAAATACTCAGAAGATTTTCTCTTTGAAATATTATCTTTAACACTTGTTAGAATAATAGATGTAATAAGCTTCACTCTAATCTCAAGTATTTCATTTGAGATATCTTGATCAGAATTTCAATATAGCTCACTCTGTTTTTCAGATTTTAACAGTTTTATACTTTCTTCAACTGCTTTTCAATCAGCTTTTTCAAAGTTAAACTGATTAGAGAGAAGAGAATTTTCACTTATTTATTTTTCACTCAGTTCAATATTAAATTAAATAATCTCATGTTCTGATTTTGATATCTCATTTGAATTAATAAATCAGTTTATAAGTCTTTTTTTCATTAGATTTTATAATATAAAGATTAAATCTATAATAGATTTCTGTTTCATATCTTTTCTAAAGAATGTTTGTTAATCAGACTTATTAACTAAATCTATTGAATACTCAAAGATTCATTTAATCAGATTATCAGCTCTTACTACTCTCTTACATTCTGAATTTTATCAGAAATGATGTGCATTGAAATCTTCTACAATTATAGAGTTTCTTAATAAAGTTATATTCTGAAATTCTTTATTAATTGTTTCAATATTATTATTTTTCTTCAATAACTTTTCATTATAGATATTTATAAGCTGTATAGTATCAAACTCATTCTCTTTATCTATAATATCACTCATCAGAATATCAGAGTCAGACATGATATTAAATCTTAGATTAAATTGATATCTTGATCTCTTTCTTTCATAGATCACTACTCTTGACTTTATCTCAGACTTTTGAGATAGAAAGTAGTAGTAGCTTGAATGAGAAATAATATATCTTTACTCAGCATCAAAATTCAGCTTCTGAAGCAGTATAAAATCAACTTTTTATTCAAATGTAATTTGAAGATAAGAATAAATGCAATTTTAGTTTCTATTCACATTATTTTAAATAAATGTGATTTTTGAAGAGTTTTTAAACTTTTTTTATTATTTTTATTGTATATTCATACTAAAAGAGAGTAGAGATAGAGTAGAATCTAATCACTATCATTAGATAGCAGATTATAACTATTTTGAAAAGTAGAAATCTCAACTGCTTGCATTATATCTAGTTTATCATCAGAGTCATTTCTGAATTTTCTAATCTTAACAGAAGTTTGAGAATTTAAATTCTGTTTATATTTAGCTGAAGAATTGAAGTTTGAAGATTTAGATAGTTCAGAGTTTCTTCTTTTTAAGCTTATAGTTATAAGTTTACTGTATTGACTCTTCTCTTCAGTTCTAGATTGACTTTGAGCTTCATCTTTGCTTTAGTTCTTTTGAGTTCTTACAGTAAATAAACATTCTTTTAAGCTAGATGTATGTTTTTCTTTCTAATTAGAGCACTTAAGCAGAGTGTATTGATATATTTCATCTCTTCTTGAGCATGTTTCATATTTATACTCACTAGTTTTATGATCTCTGGCACAGAATACACATTTTGAGTCTCTAAAATATAAGATTGTAAAGTATGCATATCTTTGACAGTTTAAACACTGTGCTTGAGCTTTGAGGTTCATTCTTAAGTCTTTGTATTCATGAACTCTTATTTTCAAATCTGCTACTCTTACTTCAGAGATTCTTAACTGTTCAGATGTTTTTGTATATACTAGAACAAAGGCATTTCTTCTGCTTTGTCTGAACTCAATTGAATTTAGTTATATAGACTCTTTTCTCAGTTGAATAGAGTTGTATTCTTCTAATTCATTTTTAAGAAGTAATATTTCTTCTTCACAGTCAAAAATTTCAACTGAAATATCATGAAGAATGAATTTATTTCACTTTTCATCTCTCTCAGATAGAATTATTGTGTTTAGCAAAGATTCTACTTCTGATTTTCAGAGATTCTTATTCTGAATAAGGAATTCTGCACTGAATTCAGATATTGTAGTCAGAATGATAGAGTTTTCAAAGAATGATAACTCAATTGAAGCTATAACTGGTTTTTGAACTTCAATATCAGTTATTAACTGAGAAAAAAACTGCTGATTAATTTCATTTCTGATTCTGAAAATAAGATTTGAGTTTAGCTTGTTTCTTTGTAAGATCTTCTGATTTGAGATCTTGAGAATAAGTCTTCTATCTTTGAAGATTTGAAAGTTTTTCTCTTTTTACATTTTTTTTCTTCACTTTTTTATGAATAGAAGTATGAGCAGTATTCTTCTCAGTTTTCTCAGGATTTTGAGCAGATTTTGAGATAGCAGATTTAGAGATATCAGATTCAGCTGCTTAAGCATATAATTTCTTCTGATTTAAAGAAGAAGAAGAAGTAGAAAAAGAAGAAGAGTAAAATAATAAGTCAGTAATTGTACTAGAAATTTTCAATGTTTTTTAAACTGTGTTTGAAATTTCAAGTTTGAACTTGATCATCTTCTGTATTTGTCTGGCCTGAGTATGAAGAAATAACAGAACTTCTTTAATCATCTCACTCAGATACTGCTTTTCAAGAATCTTGCTTACTTTTTCAAGTTTCTGTATTTCAAGAACGTGTTATTTCTCTATTTCTTCTTGCTTTCTTCTCTTTAGAATTTCAATCTCAGAAATAGTATTTGAGAAAGCATCTTTTTCCACATTAACTGAGTGTATTTTTGAACTCATTATTCTTACTCAATGAAAAGTTGATCAGACTGTTTCAATTGAGATATTTATTGAACTCTTTTGAAAAGTTAATCAGACTGTTTCAAAAGAAGAATAAAAGACTTTTATGTATAAAACACCTGATTTTTTTCACACTAGTTCAGTAACTAGATTAGATTTTTGAAGAGAATCTAATAAACTGAGATTGATTTTTGAGATAAATCAATAAAATCTTCATAATCTCTTTCTTGAGATATAGTGAGGAAAAGTATGATATTAATTAATAGTAAATCAGATAATATGACAGTTTTTAGAAGAAAAACTGATAAAAAATAAATCAATTTTTTACAGAGAAATTGATTAAAACTATTTAATTTTATTTTAAATCATTCAATTCTTCTCACATAACAAGTGTGCAACTCAAATCAGTTAATAAAAAGTGTAAAACAAAATTAAGTATTAATGAAAGCTCTTCAGTTACTGAAAAAGTAATTCTTACTTAAAAGAATATAAAATTATAACAGAAAACAACTCTGTTTTTAATTCTTTATAAGAATATTGTGTGAAATTCAGAGAAAAACATCTTACTTTTTCAAAAGAAGTAAAAAACTATTTTTAAGATCTTTTCTTTTTTGCATTTGTTAAATCAATATTTACAAGTATTCAATAATTTTCAAATAGCTTAATATTAATAATGATTATTGTAAGGGGCCTACGCCGAATAGATCAGTATTAATATATAGGTCTTATATAACAAAAGTGGAAAACGTTAGAGAAAACAAAAAGAGAAAGTGCGAGTATCGGCGATCGGAGCGGATATTTATACGCGTACGAGGTGGAGCTTCGGGGCGGAAGAATAGGAACTCCGTGGGTTCTTAGGCCGAGGATCGGCGATCGAGAATCGGGGCTTTCGGCAGGAATCTATGGAGTGTAATGGAATAGTCTTAAACATCGGGCGCAGCCCGCCACAATTATAACTACATCTCACAATAAGCATTGAATGCTAGATTAACAAGATAAACAGAAACAGAAACCTATTATCAGTAGCATTTATTAAAATAGTTACTAGTGAGCTAGTCTATCCGGTCATTTAGCCATGAATCTTCAAGAAGTTCCCTTGCTGTCTTTCTATCTTCTGGTCGCCATTGAAGCATTCCTCTTATAAAAACTAAAAACATTTCTTTATTTCTTCCTCTAAGAAACTCTTCCGACTCTTCCAAACTTGCTTGAGATATCTCTATGTCATGCTTCCACTGTCCTGTAACAGTTCTATAATAAGCCTCTTACATCTGCAAGGTACTTTCAGAGATTGAGAAATAATACATACCATCTTCAGTAAAAAATTCAAGGCTCCGTTTTCCACGCTTGAGCATATCTAAGGGAGGCGGCCCTAGAATGCCAATCACCTCGGCAAGATGCGCACGGGTGGAATACCCTTTCCCATCGGGATCATTGCCATGGAACATGTGCTTGCCCTCAATCAAGTCCCAGACCTGATTTTCCTGACTTATTAGTAATCTCAAAAGAGTGTGATCAAGTGGGAGAATACAGAGGAAAAACATACCATGACGCCAACATTCCATATATCAATTGGGTAACTCCATTCAGCTTTCAGCATCACCTCTGGAGATCTGTAAACGTTGGGTTGAGCATCATGGTTTCTTCTCTCATCTCCTCGAACAGCTGAACCAAAATCACTCAGGACTACTTTGCCAAATGTCTTTGGCAATTCAAACCGTCGGGAAGCATACACTGGTATCCCGTTGATAAACTTCCGAGGTGAAGGGTTCTCCATTTCAGCTTTTGCAAAGCGTTCGAGGATCGCTCTGTCCTCTATTTCTTGAAGAATGTTATCACCCTTGATGTCTAGTTAGGCTACGGGTTAGCGGTCGTACTTTTGAGAAAATGAAGTACTTCTTACCTGTATGGACAAGCTTGCATTCGGTATGCAGGTAGTCAAGCGCAAGAAAAACTTGCATGAGACCAACCCTGAGTAGGTCCTCAGTAAATCGATGATTGGGATTGCGATAGAGCAGATCCTTGAAACTCTCCCACATGGGTTTCTGGACAAGACAGTGATGGCCACCTCCGGGACGAGGAATGGTGAACACATCTAGGGCCTTTCTCACATGGACATAACCAGGATGCGACGGGTTTCCTTGTTTCAAATACTTATAAATCTGAAACTCTTCCTGATTAACTTCATCACGCGTATATACCTTCACTGTCACATATTTATGACCTCTGGTTGCGTTAGCCTGTCATAGTTGAACATAGAGAGAGCTGACTTACTCGAGATCACGAGCGAGCCATACGGTGGAGGTAACCCCAAATCCCAGTTTACCGATGATCTGGTATCTGGAAGTCAAGACATCCCCAATGTTGATAGGATAGTATCGTCCTTTCTTGAACTCTTCAAATCGTTCCTCATCAAGTTCAGACCCACTGACTGTTACGTAGCCGCTGGTCGGAAAACACACGGGAGGGGAGGGAACTCTTCGAAAGGTGGCTTTGGCCCATCTCAGGAGAGAAGTCATGATGAGGGCACGGACGAGCAAAGTGGGATGAGTGTTTGATCGAAGCTGGGGAAGAGATGGAGGGCGATGGCAGTTGGTTTGTTGGAGCTACTACACAAGCCCTAACCCACGTGACCCACTCACACCCATATATTGTTGGGGGTCCCGCGGTTGGTCGGCCCTTCTACCAGCAGTGCGCTGGTGGTGACCGAGCTCTTTTGTCCCAGTAGCCTACAGATTATGAGACTGTTAAGCGTGAGCCCCGCTGTGATCAACATGCATGGGTTCAATCCCAGAATGGACTTAAAAATTCCTAACAAATACCCTGGATATTTTAACAGTGCTAAGAGACATCTCAGGAGTGTGTCCTAGAAGTCCCTTTAAGTCCTAGGACTGAGTGGTTCAGTCCATTATTAAAAAGGAGCCATTGTGGGGAGGCCACTGAAGGGAGCCACTGAGGGGAAGTACTGTACTCTGTGGTAGCTGGTCCGAGGGGGGGTGTTGGGGGTCCCGCGGTTGGTCGGCCCTTCTACCAGCAGTGCGCTGGTGGTGATTGAGCTCTTTTGCCCCAGTAGCCTACATATATTTAGCTTCCACTAGCTGCTAACCGTGCCATGCTTACTCACTCTCTCTAGTGAGTGTGTCACAGCATATGAAAAACCACACTGTAAAGAAAATATTTTGAATATAGTGATCTTTAAAAATTAATTAATAATCATTATTACATCTATCTATAATATAAAGATTATCTATATACTTATTAGAAGGTGTAGAATTTACTGTAGATTAAGATTCTATAGAATTATCTTATTATAATTAAATAACTCTAGATTTTATAGATTTGATTCTAATTAAGTAAAGATTTTTATTAAATGTCTTTTTCATCTTATCTACTCTACAGATTACAATCTTGTAATTAATATTCTTAATAGTAAGAACTTCATCTACTTGTATCTATCTGTAGAAGAATTTAGTAATCTGATATCTATTTATTTAATAATGATTTACAAGTTTATTCTCACAATATGTATTCAATTTCATCTGAATTATACTACTCTTGAAGATCTTGTTCAATTATCTTGTTAAATCAGATATAAAAATATTCTTCACATCTTCTAAAATCTTAACTACTGTATTAATTTAGTAATATAGTTTTACAACTGTCTCTGAAGAGATTAATTATAAGAAGATAGTTAACAGTCAATCTGCAGATATTATTATTATTATTATTATTCTTTAATTATAGATGTATTGTAAAAGGTGTAAAGCTTATGTGATTGAAAGATTACTAACTTGTGAAAAGTTATATAATGAAAGAATTAGTAAGTCAGATTATATAATCTGACACTCTTACTCATCAGAGTAACTACACAATGCTATATACAAAATTCGCCTTCAAATCAAGTACAGGTATAAAAAATGACTGGAAAATATGAAGTAATGAAAAATCAATCATGATATACATTATTTTTTATCTCTCTATTCCTTCATCTTCATAATCTCCTTTCAATGTATATATTTCAACATTTTAAGTGATTTAGTAAGCTCATTTGCTGTATTCTCAGCAGATGAAATATATCAGATAGATATCTCATTCTTACAGACAAGATTCTGAAGAATGTGAAAATGAACCTCTATATACTTTGAGTGATGTGAAATTGCTTCAGAAGAGAATAGCTCTATGATAAACTTATTATCAGTATGAATTGTATAAGTCAGATCATTGACTGTGATGAGAATGAGATGATTATCAGCATTCAGATTGTTGAGACAGAATGAGATGAATTCAGTGTCTTCTAGAAGCTCTTGAAGACAGACAAGCTCATATATAATCTTGAAGAATGCAATATATTCGGCCTCTGTTGATAACTTGAAGACCTCTGTTTACCGGCAGCTCCGTCATACAACGGGGCCATCTGCCATGTAGATGATATAACTGGTGGTTGAACAGGATTCTGAATCTCTACTGGCTCAATCAGCATCTGTGTATGCTACAGGTTCAATTTCAGCACCTCTGTGATAGATTATATTCTCATTGATTGAACTCTGTAGATATCAGAGTGTATACCTGTATACAGTTCAGTTCTTTAATATAGACTGAGAGCTGAATCATTTAAGAAATCCTGTAGTGAAGCTCATATCAGAATGTGTATTAAATGTCAGATATTGCAGAGATCTGATACTGAATTAATAGAACTGTAGAATAAATTCTGCTGTGTATGTAATCAGTTTCTCATCATTATTCATGAAATTGACATTCTTCTTTATAGAAGTGAATGTAGAATGACAGTCATTTATTAAGAACTTCTTCAGAAGATTTCTTATAAAGAGAGATTGAAACAATATTAATAAAGTTGAATCTCTATCAATCTTCATTTCTAGATAGTGATTGAAATTCTCTACATTCTTGATCTTGTAATTAGCAGTGATTTCAGCTTTGACCCAGTTCAGATCTTCAATTTTTGAGCTGTAGAGATGAACATTATTCATGTAGATGATTATATAGATCTGTGTTTCATCATGAATAAATAGTCTGATATCATAGAGACTGACATAGAAGCCTGTAGACTGGCCGCCGGGACCATGAATTTCACATTTGATTTCATTTGATCTGATCTCATACATTTCTTGACGTGAGTCTCACCAGAACCAAGCCTCAAAAAAATCTGAAAATGAACCATTTCTGAGAGAAATGATGTGAAAAATGACCAGATTTAATTCAAGAACAGTGAAATGAGAGTAATTTCTCAGAATAAACTGTGAAAGATAATCATTCTTTCAAAATCAGAATGAGACTGAGACTGAAGATTAAATTCAGTCTCATTCAGTTCATTCAGTGATTGCTTATATAATCAGAATTTGATAATAATTATTAATAACACTCATGAAACAATTAAACAAATTCTTGTATAAGTTTATTCTTCACTTTCTTATGAAAACTACACTTCTCTGATATACTGTGATCAGAGATATTAAACTGTCTAATAATTTCATGTTTTATAATTATGAGTTTCTTGATTATTTCTTCTTATAATTGTTCTCAGTGATAGTGATAAATATCTCAGCTTGAGTTGAACTTTCACTTCATTTTTATCTCTATCAATGAAATTATCAGAATATCACATATTATCAGTGTAATAGTTAAATATATACTCTTAATAATTTTTCATAACTCTAGAATTAATTTAATGTATAAATTTGTTAAATTATCTTGAAGATAGCAGTTAAATTCAGTTTTATAAGTATGTAGTTTTATCTGATTTTCAGTTGTAATCAATGTATGTAAGTTCTGTTTCAAAGTTAGTATTATAGTTCTATGTAATATAAAGTATTATCAAAGATTATTACTTACTAGAGAATTGTATTTCACTGTCTTTACATCTCTAATATCTGCTTATTCAAATCTCTGATAGTTGATATTGTAGTAGTGTTGAGCTAATTTAATATATAAGTCTCATTTCTTCTCTATTCAATCTTAAGAAGTGTAGATATTAACTTAATAAGAGAGATCTAGTAGAGCTGCTATAGCATAGTACTCTGTAAAAGATTGTTCAGTTTTGCTGTGATAATATGTCAGTTTATTTCTTACAGTAATAATAGTCTGTGCTATAATATATCTCAGACTGAATTTCTTTGTAAGTGATTCAACTACTTCTTAAGATAAGTAAATAAACTGTTATACACTTATCAGACTGACTGCAGTATTGATGTACAAGTAATTAAGACTGTCTTTGTTATCTTATAAAACTGAAACAGTAAATTAATCACATATTTCAACTGAGTTCACTTTATATTAGAAAGTTTCAATGTCTGAATCTTTTTCTGATCAGAGTGTTATACTCAATGATTAATTATCTGATATAATTAAAGAGCTTAAATAGTCATCTTATATATTGAACTCTATCATATTCTAATATTCTGTATCATATTCAGTGATGTGACTGATTTATTTATTTATTGAATATCATGAAATTATTATTGTTATTTAGAGAAGATATAAATCACATTAACAATGTTTAAAATCTGTGATATTTAAATTATTAATCAATCTATTTAAAATTAACAGTAGTGTTAGCAAAAAGCATTATTAAAAAGCAATATTAAAAAGTGTTATTAAAAAACATTATCTTTTACAAAGTAGATGTAAAAGTTACTTGAGTAATCACTTCTATCTCATTCTCATTCTAAGAATCAGTCATCTCATTATTCTTCATCTCAATATTAAGATTCTTTATCAGTATTTATATCACAAGTTGAATCACATGAGTAATGCAGAGACTATGATCTTGTTTATCATTTTAGAAATGTAAAGTCAATTTTTGCTTTAAGCTGTTTATTATAGTATAGTTATTCACAGCATTATCAGTTATATTTATAAGAAGACTGAGACTAATATCTCAATAGTTATTTTTAATCACAGTTATTAATATCTCTGTTATATAATCTCTAGTGTGACTACTGATCAATGATTCAAATTCAATTAATATCTCTTAATAAGTTCAGTTCTTATCAATGTAATAACATATAACTCTTATAAATGTAAGATTATTTATACTAGTTCATGCATTCACTGTGAGAGACACTCTTCAATGATTCTTCAACTCTGATTCTAGATATTATATATTGACTTTGTAGTATATCTCAAGATTGAACTGAAGACAGAATTGATGTGAAATATGAAGATTTGAATTAAGTATTTGAAGAAGTGTTTAGAATTCAGGGTTTTCAATTGATTGAAGAGAAAGATTCAGAGATATACACATGCAAAGTAATTATTCATAGAAGTTATTAGATGAGAGTTATAGAATCAGAGTACTGATACATGATCATTTTCACATGATTTTCTTCAAATTAGAAAGTTAGTATTATCAAAAATTATTATCTGATAGAGTAATATCAGCTCAGTAGTAATTTTCTGATTATTTTTCTTTTATTATCTGCATTCTGATGACTTCAGATGTTAAGAAATTTCCTCAGAGTTATAATCAGTTTATGATGAATGTTTCTGAATAAAGTTATAGTAATTGTAGTAGAGAGATGACTCTTCAGTAATCTGCAATATAATTTATTAATAATTATTTTATAGTTCATCTCAGTGTTTGTGTTGAGTTTTTCATAAATTTCATAACCTGAAATCAGGTGTGAAGAATGAAGTGATTATTTATTATAATTGAAAGAGAGTATTCTGTGTTGAATTATAAATAACATAGACTTTGTAATTCAT